AAAGCTAGCTCATAGAAAATTATGTCTGGTAAAAATTAGTTGATAAGTTAGTTGGAATATATAAAATGATATAAAATGACATTTTAACGAATATGTTTTTTTTATAATTAAATAATGGCATATTTAAAAATTAAAAAAAAACTTTTGAAAAAACTAATATAAATAACTTTTTAAAAAGCAAGTTTGTAAGTTACTTTTTAGTTTGATAAGAATAACAACTTAAAAAAAACTCAAAAAATAAACTAAATGTGGCGCACCAAACACAACCTAAATAACTTCGTTTAATCTTAACTATTGATTTTTTATTTTCCTTGATTTATTAAAATGATTTTGTTATATTTTAAACTTTGTTTTAAAACCAATAATTATTGAAAGAGTGATTTAAAATAAACCTCCCCATCCCCAACTACACATATGTACCCTAAAAAGTCTACGCACATTTCTTTTTGAAATATGACGATTTTCGGTTTGCCATTTTTATATGTAATTATGTATGCATAAACATATACATACCTGTATTTATGAAGGGAAAATGACTTATTAAGGTAATTAACTTTTCGGTATGTTCACATCTAGATAACTATCTTTTTTTTATACACATGTAGGTAACAAACTTATTGGAAGTGTTCACATATGACCATTATGACTTGTCATAGCAGGTTAAATCCTAGATGTGAACATTTTCAACAAGTTCGTTACCTAGATGTGTACAAAAAAAATAGTTACCCAAATATGAATAAAAGGAAAAGTAAAAATAAATTACACAAATGGTCCCTATGGTTTGGGAGAATTTGTGTTTTTAATCCCTAACTTATTTTTTTTAACTCGGATGGTCCCACTGTTTATTTGTGTTACGCGTTTGGTCCATGTCTTACCTAAAAAGACTATTGTGCCCTTATTAATTTACTTTTTAATTAGTTTTCTTATTTATGTATTTAAAAAAATTAATAGACCCTACATATCTGTATCTCCTCACCGTAAACCTGAAACCACATTTGAGAAATTTAATTTGGGTCTTACCGGTTACCATCCCATCTCTCATCCTCCCCAACTTCTATTTCTTTTTCATCTTTAGTAACATGGACTTCTTCACCATCCTTCTTTTTTTGGTACTTCAACTTTGGCGAACCAACACCATAACTTACTGTCTCTTCATCTTTAGTGGGTTGTGGTGTTGATTCGACGGAGTTGAAGGACCGAAAAAAGAAGGGATGATGAAGACGTCGATATCACTAAAGATGGAAAATAAATAGAAGTTGAGGATGATGAGAGATTGGATGGTGAGGAGATACAGATATGTGGGGTCTACTAATTTTTCTTAAATATATAAAGAATAAGTACGTAAATAAGAAAATTAATTAAAAAAAATAAATTAATAAGGGCACAATAGTCTTTTTAGGTAAGACAGAGACCAAGCTCGTAACAAAATTAAACAATAGGGATCATCCAAGTTAAAAAAATAAATTAATTAAAAAACAAACAGTATGGATCATCCGAAGAGATACAAATATGTGGGGTCTATTAATTATTTTAAATATGTAAAAAAATAAATACATAAATAAGAAAATTAATTAAAAAATAAATTAATAAGGGCACAATAGTCTTTTTTAGGTAAGACATGGACCAAACGCGCAACAAAAATAAACAGTAGGGACCATCCAAGTTAAAATAATAAGTTAGGGACCAAAAACATAAATTCCCCCAAACCACAGGGACCATTCGTGTAATTTACTTTTACTTTTCGTTTTGTTCATATTTGGGTAACTATTTTTTTTGTACACATCTAGGTAACGAATTTGTTGAAAGCGTTCACATCTAGGATTTAACTTGCTATACCAGGTCATAATGGTCATATGTGAACACTTCCAACAATTTTGTTACCTAGATGTGTATAAAAAAAAGATAACTACTCATATGTAAACATATCGAAAAGTTAATTACCTAACTCATTTTCCCATTTATGAATTACGTGTATATGTCTATGTAAATTGAATGCAAGCCCACTACTTTGTTCAACATTCACGATTATGTGCCCTGACAGCCTCCTCCAATAAAACAAATTCAAAAACACCATCTATTTTATAGGAGAAATCAAATATTCATCTATTTTTTTCTTATATTTTTTTTATAATTATAACATTTATCATATTTAATAAAATTAATAATTTTTTATTTTACTCGTCATCATCTAATAATGATAAGAGGACGGATAGGAAAAATTGGTAGAAGAATATTTAATTTCTCATTTTATAGTTACACTCACACATACACAATTGTATTGTTTTATAAATTTTGAGTTATATATATATATATATATATATATATATATATATATATATATATATAAGGAAATCAATAGAAAATATATAAAGGTTTGGAAAGCTTAAAACCTAAAAAATCAATAGAAATATATAGAAAAAAATATATTTTAAGATATGTAATCTTTTTTTGACTTTATATGGATTAAAATCGCAGGTTTTGGAACAAATTCGCTGAAATTGTTTTTTTGAAAACAATTAAACTTTTTTTATAAAAAAAATTATTTTTTTTCAACGATTATATATATATATATATATATATATATATATATATATATATATATATATATATATTATTTGTGTTCTTACACTAAAAGTCTTTTGTATCGTAGAACCGTTTCCTCCATCAGAGTAATTATTATATCTTAATATATAAAAAAAGTAATTTTACTTTAATCAAATATACTAATATGCCTTTTGTATTAGACTGGATTGGAGTGACAAATAATCTTTCGTATGGTTGAGGTGACCACAAATTTGGTAGTTCCTTGCCTACCACTCCAATTAAATTAAACATGACTAATGCTTTAACTTTTTACTAACCCTTTTTATTTAAAAACATTAATGTTTTATAAGATTAAATACAAAAAAGAATAACGTAATTTATATTAATTTTATTTCTAATGTATCTTATCACAAATAAATGCATACTCGTATTTTCGTCTATTTTTCTTTAATACAGACCATTAATTCTATATTAACTTCCAAATATTGATAAAAGTCAACAACATAAATACTAAAAATTATCATAAAAGTATATTATTGTTTTGCATTAAATAAATAATCATCATGTGATGATTCACCATAACAATGACTCTAAGATAACATGTTCTAATCTTAAAGGGATTCAATAAGAGATAACCATAGAAAGTAGAGAAAATTACAAATTTAGCCAAATACACTAATCATTTTGTGGAAAATAGTAAAAAAAAACCAAAATTGCATTTTTAACCACTAAAATCGCAGATGAGTATAATCCATCTGTGATTTCGTCATGTCATCTGCGAACGTACAGGTGGCTAAAGCACAAACGTGCTTTAGCGACTTGTACGTTCGCAGGTGGTTTTTTTTTCGCTGTATATATACCCCTTTTTCTAGCCTAAAACTATCTACGAAATTTTATTATTTTGACTACGAAATTGATAGGGTTTGACTATGAAACAACCTTATTATATATAAACTTTTTCAAAAAATTATCATTTTTTGTTGATATTTTTTTGGAAAATTTGTTTAAAACGTCTTTAAAATAATGAATGAATATTTTGTTTGCGTTGTAACCGCGGGAGATGGAAAGAGAGAGAGTTTCTCTAAAAAAAGATAATGATAATTGAAAAAAAAACGTTTTTATACAAAATAGCTACGAAATCGCAGATGAAATGTACAAAATCACAGATGAACTGTTCCATCTGCGAACGTACAAGTGCCTAAAGTACAGATGTGCTTTAGGCACTTGTACGTTCGCAGATGGAAATGCGAAATCACTGATGGACTTAATCCATCTGCGATTTTAACGGCTAATTTTGTAATTTGAGTTTTTTTTGGCTATTTTACACAAAGTAATTAGTGTATTTGACTAAATTTGTAACTTTATCTAGAAATTATTGCAACCTGTTTTGGTGTCTTAGCATTTTGACATAGGTACATAGCCTTTCCCCATATTCCCAATAAATCGGAAAAGAAACTCATTTGCATGAAATAAATTATATTATTGCTATATACATTAATATTTTAAATAAAATATTATTTTACATGAAATATATGTACATTATTATTATAATGTTATTTAGGCTGAAGGGAGTGGTAGCATGTGTATGTGGTAGCATGTGTTAAAATATTGTCACATCATGTTTTTATAGACATGTAAGCATAATATGATGATATGGAATGGTGATGTGGTTAAAATGTAAGTATTTTTTTTTTAAATCAAATAAATTTTTATTTGACTATTTAAATAAATTAAATTATAAAAAAGGTACAAGTTGTTAAAGGTAAAATTACAAACATTTAAAGCACAATTGATCTAATGGGACCACTTGATATCTCATTCCTCTGCTTAAGAGAATAGCGAGACAGTTATAGCATATGTACTTAGCGAGGAAACAGGGAGTGGTGACGAGTTTTAACGAGGGCTTAGCGAAGGGAGGTGGCAAGCCACTCCCTTCAGCTTATATTTATATGTTACTCGCATAAGTTCTAAATAGCATAGTATTTTGCCAAGTTAATATATAATTCAATGAAATATAATAACATTAAAAGTTCTATTGAATTGATTCCCATTCTTGTGATTACGTGCTATGAGGAGACAAGTGTTCTTGGCGTCATCATGTTGTGTCCATGGCATGCATATGAATAGCATCCCCACCCTTGTGCGAAAGTGAAATTACCTAGTTGCCCTCTATTAAGTACCCTCCACAATATAGCATTTCTAGTGAAAATAAATGATGTTTAATGGCACAAAGTGATTTCGAACTTTAAACTGTAAACAAGAAATATACTTTTTTTTGAAATTTTAATAGTGGTTTTAAACATTTATGGAATTTAGATTTAAAACAAAAGTAACAAAACGAATAACGTTCAGGGTAATTTGGTCATTTTATTAATCATAAAGATAGACTCATAATTACCAATTTAGCATATTGCATCCCTAATAACACGCTCCCTTGACATTACTTTGAGAACAAAATTTCAAATTATCACACATAATTATGCAAACCAAACGAACCCAACCAGGAGGCGCCTTGTTCAAGCAAACACAAAGAAACCCTCTCTATGAATTCATTGTATATAACAAAAACCCACACATCGGTTAAAGCTCCAAAAGCCAAGAAGAAGCTGACAAGATCAACCAAACCCAGATAACCTGTTGTTTAATTTTCAGTATTGATTCTTAGTCGGAGGTTGGTTTTCCAAAAAAATGGATATTACATTGCAAGGATTCGGCATGGTAGTGAATAATTCTGCGTATGATGATGATTCACCTTGTATTGTTGTTGATTGTGGGAGGAAATCAGAGGAGGAAGGTGAGAAGAAAAATATAAGGGGTTGTTTGGATACATGTGAAGAAGAAGAAGAAGAGTTTGGTGGAAATACTAGCTCAAGCTCTGATTTCACGACGTTATTTGAAACTTCTTTAAATGAAGAGCATATCACTAGCTTTGAAGACTCATCTTCTCCTTCTTCCAAGGATGTAAACATCTTGAATCATGAGGTCGAAGCCCCACATTGTACCGATTCTGATAGTTCTGTGCAACCCCTTTTGGGTCAAAGAAATTTAGGGAAACAAGGGCCAACACCACTCTCAGGTACTGTTTTTACCAATTTGTTTGTTCTAATTTATGATTCAGAACCAACAAATTATGCCAAATGATCACGGTGTTTCTCCTTTCGGTTGATAACTTAGTGTTTTATCTTTCAGTTTGATGATTCTTATGTTTATCTTTGACATGGGGTTTTAGTTAGTTGTTTGGCTGTGATTATATTTAGGGTCAAATAATTAGCAATTGGTGATTTTCTCTTAGTTTGATCTGTAATCGTTCATCTTTGATTTGGGGTTTTTGATAGAGATTGAAATGATGAAAGAAAGATTCTCGAAATTGTTACTTGGAGAAGACATGTCTGGTTGTGGGAATGGTGTTTGTACAGCTTTGGCCATCTCGAACGCAATTACAAATCTTTGTGGTAAAACCAATATCGAATTCAGCCGTATATTACAACGCCTTCGATATCCATTGATTTCTCTATGTTTTTCTTGAATTTTCAGCCACACTTTTTGGACAAATATGGAGGCTTGAACCTCTACGCCCTGAGAAAAAAACAATGTGGCGAAGAGAAATTGAATGGCTTCTTTGTGTTAGTGATTACATTGTTGAGTTGATTCCATCTTGGCAAACTTATCCAGATGGAAGCAAGCTTGAGGTGAAATAAAAATATTTTTATTATTTTTAATAATCTTTAAAAAAGTTCTAATGTTTCGATATTGATTGTTAGGTCATGACTAGTAGACCCAGGTCCGATCTTTATGTTAACCTTCCAGCTCTTCGTAAATTAGACAACATGCTTCTCGTGAGATTTTTAACTCTTTTTTTCTTTGTATTTTTTTTTTTTTTTTTTTAAATATGAAGTTGAAATGAAATGAATTTTGATTGGTACAGGAGATATTGGACAGTTTTGAAAAAATGGAGTTCTGGTATGTTGACCAAGGCATTCAAGCTCTTGAAACAGATGGTTCCTCATCTTTGTGTAAAGTGGTCCCACGCCAAAAAGAAAAATGGTGGCTCCCGGTCCCACGTGTCCCCACTGGCGGTCTCAGTGAGACCGCCAGAAAAAATCTGCAAAACAAACGCGATTCCACAAATCAGATACTAAAAGCCGCAATGGCTATCAATAGTATCACTTTAGCAGATATCGATGTTCCCGAATCATATTTGGAATCACTTCCCAAGGTATGTATATAAGATATTTGATTAATAGTCAGACAAACAGTCTTTTAAACATCTTGAAAACGAAATTTATTATTTTTGTTTGCAGAATGCCAAGGGTAGTTTAGGCGACATTATTTATCGATATATAGCATCGGAACAATTTTCACCCGAGTGTTTGTTGGAGTGTCTTGATTTATCATCCGAGCATCAAGCTCTTGAGATAGCGAACCGTGTGGAGGCTTCCATTTACATATGGAGACGAAAAAACAACAACACGAAACCTATAAACAACATTGTGAGTAGGTCCTTTTCAAGGTCATCATGGGACAAAGTTAAGGATTTGGTTGCTGATGCTGATAAAAGGGAAACATTAGCGGATAGAGCCGAAAACCTCTTGCTTTGTTTAAAACAAAGGTTCCCTGCCCTTCCTCAAACCACTTTGGACATGAGTAAAATCCAATATAACAAGGTATATATTTATATCTTCAAGTTAAAGACAAATGGCCATTTTTTTAACATTTAAATTGTCTGTGTACAACATCAGCTAGACAGAGTTTCATCTATGTGTCTCTTTCTATGTTAAAAAGGTTGCTTTAGATATCTAACTAGCACAAATGTTGTAAATTTTTATATAAGTAGTTTCATATTGTTATTAAATTAATAGTTTCATGTTGTATTTTAGGATGTTGGAAAATCGATCTTGGAGAGCTACTCAAGAGTGTTGGAGAGCCTAGCATTCAATATCACGGCTCGAATTGATGATTTACTTTACGTGGATGACTTGGCAAGACATTCGGATAAATTCTCATCAATTTCCAACCGTGAAATCGTGTCCAAAACAATCATTGGGAAACCATACACACTTCACACAGTTACCACTCCTTATAGAACCACTTTCACCACACCGAGTCTTTCACCTTCACGTATAAATAGTCCAAAGAAAATTATGACCGATTATTTGACCATTGACCAAAAAGGTAAGCACTATGCGGGTCAAGTTGCAAGGTCAAACTCATTTTCGGGTAGGACTCGAGGAGCGTTACAGAAGATGGGACTTTCGGGGTCTAATGGCTCGGTTGGGTTGAGTTGAGTTGACTCGGATGGGTTTGGATGAGTTTGATGTTTGTAGATGGGTGAATGGGAGTCTATATATGGATATGTTTAAGCTTTAAAGTGTAGGTAGGTGATGGCATTTGTACATCCCGGTTTTGTCCTAATGAGTAACGAGTCTTGGTTCAGTTGACTCGGACCTTTGGAAGGACTGTGTAGTAGTGAAGTTGTGTAAATAAATGCCAATTTTTGTTTTCCACAAATAAGATAATCTTCTGAAAGGGAATAAGATAAAATATGATATCCGATTATTATATATATGAACCAACTCGTATATTTATACTTCGTATAATCATATAAATTACAATGTTTTATTTGTATAATCATATAACTAAGATAACACATACCAGAAAAAAAACATTTAAAAAATATATATTAGAACAAATATAACAATAACTTTTAAATAAAACCAATTATGATATTATAAACTTGTAAATACACCCTAGACGATTTGCCTGTTTAATATTTTATTTGTAGTTGGCTTTCTAAATTTCACTAATTTAATATCAATTTACCAAATGTAGTAGTGTAATTCGAGTAGATTTTATTTGTAGCACAGGTATATTTTGGGCTGGCGCATCTTTGTTGAAGGACAAGCCTTTTGGGCTTTTGTGGAATGTTTGATTTTAGGTTCTTTACAGTTTGCTTATATACAATTTCATGTAAAACATCATTTTCATAAAACCAAACAAATACCCTCTCGTTCGATGAAAGTTTTGTAACTTACTTATTATAATAGATCATAACTCAAACTATCGTAGATATGTCAACTTCTTAGGATACGTTGAACGTTCACGGATTGAAATTAGAAGATGAAATTTAAACTTACAAATCTCATTTACAAATCCAATTATAACCTGAAGTCTAATATGCGTCGTATATATTGTCCGGATCTAGTAAGGATTTTAAAGAAAATTCTTGACTATGTATTTCGTAAAGGCTAAGAACGTCAAACGTCGTTTTTGGATATGGCACAATCACGTTTGTGTATGTCCGTGGAAGATAGTGAAGACTCGATGATATTATCACGTGTGATGAACGTTCATGGAACGTAATCTAGGCGAATTTTTTTTTTCTCATTTTTTTTCTATTGTTTATTTCTTTTAATTTTTTTTATAAAATTAAACACGCTTTTAGTTTTTTTTTTAATTAATTTTTTATTTTTTTTAGCTAAAGTTTCTTCTATTCTTTTTTGAATTGAAAGCCGGTTCAAGCTTCATAATATATGGACTTCAAAAGTCTTTTTTTTTGTATGATGAGGTTAGTGGTTAACAGTTAGTACACGAAAGCAGTTATTATCACGAAATCGTTAATGCTTGGAACAGAACTCGAGACATTTAATTTAAGAGACAAACTGACAAAGCCTCTACCAAGTGGGCTAGTCCCACATTGACGGAGTTTAAAAGTCATTAATAATAAGAGATTAAGAATAATAATTTGTTTGAATTATAATATTTTTAGATCATGTTATTTTATATTATATCATTTTTAATCAGATCATATAATTTCTGGATCATAATATAGTTAACTAAATCAAGTTTCTGTTCACAAAAAAATTTTGGATTATTATATTTTTCTAATAATATAATTTTAAATCATAAAATATACAATTAAAGATAATAACATTTTTGGATAATAATAAAATAAGAATCATATTGAACAATAATATTTTTGTATCATAATATTTTAAATCATCTAATATCATATCTTTTTTTTTAAATGCGATCTTCTAAAATAAAATATGATATCAAAACAAAATACTATTTTTTTTTAAAAAAAAGTAAATAATATAACATATATAACACATTTTTTTTAAGAAGATTTATAATTTGTAGAACAAAAACCTCACAGTGTTTGATTTTTCTTTTAACAACAACATTGTTTGATTTTTCTTTTCCAACTCATTAAATAGGTAAGAGACATAACTTCTTTACTTGCCTTATGAATTTAGAGACAAAAGAATTTCATTATATTTTTAAAAAATTCATTACATCTTTGAATTAAAATGAAAGTCCTAATTAAAAGTATATTTTCAAAAAAAAATTTGTTAACTTACTAGTCTAGTAAATAGAAAGATCCTTTAGAATTTTATGATTTTCGGAGATTGTTTTAGATTTTTTATAAATAAAAATATTACAAAAAATATACATTTTTTAAAATTCTCATGAGTATGCTGATATTGTAAAAAAGTAAGTTTTAAAAAATTTGGTTTTTTAATTTTTATTTTACAAAGAAAAAGAAAGTTATTGCAAAAACTAAGTAAAAAAAAAAAATCAACCACAAATATATATGATAACAAGTGTCAACATGAAGAGTGTTCAAACGTTTTCATGTAATTTTCAGGCGGCGTCCAAGCATGTTACTGCTATTACCAAACGCATCAATTGGCAGTATTTTGTTATTACACAAATAGTAGCCGATTTTATGAATTATACATACAACCTTTTATAATAAACTAGGCGAATTCTCACGCGTTGCGCAGCGTAGGTTATAAATATATTGTTAAAATATTGAAAATATATATTTGAAATGGTTATGTTATTGACATTAACTTTGACATAATATTTTCAAAAGTTGTAGCGTTAAACTGATAATAGTTTACATACAACAACATATTAAATCTAATAAATTAAGTATAATATGTTAAAAGTTATAGACATAACTTTATAAGTAGAATTAAAAATATTATTTTAATATTGAAATTTAGTTTATATATGATTACACTTTAGGTTTGATACTTATTTAACCTTTTTAACCAACTTATAATTATTATTAGAAAGACACTATAATTTATCACTTCTAACTATTTACAAAATATTCTTTGGATTGTTTAAGTTAAACTAAAATTTATATTTAACTTGATCCTGTAAGTTATATTTAAATTAACAATTTAATTATTTTATACAAGTTGTTCAAAAGTTGTAACTTTAAAATGATAATGATTTACATATAACAACATATTAAACCTAATAAATTCAGTATAATATGTTAAAAGTTAAAATTTTAACTTTATAAGTAGAAAAAATATATTCTTTTAATATTGAAATTAATTTATTTATGATTATACTTTAGGTTTGATATTTATTTAACCTTATTAAAAAACTTATAATCATTATTAGAAAGAAATTGAAAAGTCATTGGAGTTCAAATGAATGTAGTGAAAGGAAAAATGAATGAGAGTTTCAAATGATTGTGGTGAAAGAAAAAATGTTTCCTTTATAAGTATACTAGGCGAATATCCGTGCGTTGCGCGAAACAAAATTATATAATTAACCTTTTAGTAATCACATGTCATTGAAAATATTTTTGTCATTTATATTAACTAAAAAAATAATTATTATTATATTTAAATATTTAGTTAATGTAACATTATAATTAATTTGAACAATAGATAATATAACACTTACTTAAATCGAATCATTTAATGATATCTACTCACGCTTTACGTGTGTATAAAATTAGTTATATTTCTTATCTATTTTAATTAACTAACGTAATGATTTATTAGCTTTAACGAAAAATTGACGACATTTTAATTTCATCATGATGAATATTTAAATTCTCAATCATTGTTTGTGTTGTAACATAATTTAATTTATAACTTTATGTTATTTTAACTATTATTATTATAAATTAATTTTAAAATAACTTAATTGAATTTCAGTTATTATAAAAAATAGTTTTTGGAGATCTTTTAGTTAATTTTACTGTTAGATTTATGTTCTTTTATGTTTATTGTATTTAATATTTTCCTTTTAACTCTTGTAAAAAATATACATTGAGTTTTTTTTTTAAAAACTTTATTTGATATTTTACTTTAGGTTTTAAATTTTACACTATATTTTTAAGTTTGTTTGATATTAATTTAGGTTATCCATTTAATACTATATTGAAGTTATTGATAATTCAAGAAGTCTTCCATTTAGGATAATATTTATAATTAATAACATATTTAAGTTAGAAAAAATATTATAGAGAAATATGAAAAGTTGGGAGTTTCAAATTGATGTGGTGAAAGGCCTTAAGTCCCTTGGATGGCCTCCATACCAGCGTCCTTTGTCCAGAAACCCTAAAATCGAGTATCATCTTCCTTTGTTAAGTGTGTGAGCTTGTGGAGAACCTTGGGTGTTCATTTTTGGTGCATTTTGAAGGAGATAAAGAAGCTAGGAGTTGCTTGGCTTGAAGAAGAGGTCTTGGATCCAGAACCACCGTCTTATTAGCCAAGTTTTGAGGTAGCAAGTTCTCACCTTTCTTGTTAGTTGCTTAGATCTCTTCTTGGGTTAGATTGTATGCTTTTAGCCATGGTTGAGTGGATTTTTGGGGATTAGGACGTCCCAAATGCTTATTCTTTCAGATCTAAGGCCTACATGAACTCTTTTGGCATAAAGGTGCCAACTTTATGGATTTAAGGGCTTCATACATTCATTAAGTCCTTCATTGAGCCCTTTTTGAGCATTTGAGCTTCTCCTAGTCATGCATGAGTGTAAAGTTGGAAACTTTACGTGGCTTTCCAACTTTAAGGGATCAGATCTGCATTTTGGGGCTATGTCTTTGATGATTAAGTGCTTAATGATTAATCCCTCACTCTTTTTAGCTTAGGGTTTGGGTTTTGGACCCATTTCGGTGGTCCCTAGGGGTAAATTCGGAAACTTTACCCTTCTAGATTTCATTTGGTCGAGATCTGAGTTTTGGAACTCTTGGATTCGTTGAAAACAACTTAATGCATTAAGTTGTTGGACTTTAAGCGGACACGACGTGTTTGTTGGCACGCAAGGCGTGTTGGCTTGGTTTTCCCCGATCTGAAGTTGGCAAAGAAACACGACGTGTTGGGTGTACAGGGACTGTTGACCTTGACTTTTGACCTTTGGACTTTTGTCTTTGACCAAGTTCGACCTATAAGGGGTATTGGGGCATTTTTGAGTCGTATCTAAGGAATTGTTTCTGTTTAAGGGTTGAGCAGAGTTGATATTCGGAGCCAGGACCTATTCAGCTATCGTTCAGCATTCGAGGTGAGTCTTCCTCACTAGGTTTGGCGGGTTGAAGGCACCAATGCCGGCCCATGTTATGTACGTTATTATGCTAGTTGTCTTCGTGACTCTTGCATGTGTTATGTGTTTATATGCTTGCCGGGTTAGGGCCCGATGTTGGGTGGGGCCCGGTGTTATGTGTTTATATGCTTGTC